TTTTTCAATTTCTCCTTTTTCTTTGTTTCTTTTTTACCTCTTTTTTTCTTTTTGTTTTGTTTTATATTAATTTGATCGTCGTCATTGACTAATTATTTTCATGATTGACAATTCTTTTTGACTTTTTTCTTTAGTCTTCCAATTATTTCTTTTTAAAAGTTATCCTATTTCTTCACCGAAAACTCCTAATTGCATACTATGAAGTTTTTATTCTCGAAACCAAACCAAAGCTAAAAACATCTCGAAAATACTCCCAAAACACTTAACGTATGAAGAATTAAGTGAATTTCAATAACGTTATGCAACTGTCTTGAACCAACGGGGGGAGTGCGGGCATACCTAGGAGCTATTGACATTTTCCATATTTTTTTGTCAATAGTCCCCATTTTGAGGATCCAGGATCCAGGATTTTTCAAAGGGAGTTCCATTTTTTTCGCATTTTCCTAAAACGAACTTCAGTTTACTTTGCCTCTCGAACTGTAGCAAATGTAACGTGAATGTACGTACTTATAGATATAGCGCATCTCTTAAAGTCTCAAAACGCTTTACAGTTCTGTGTGCTTACATTGCATGAGTCGTGTGGTAAAAGTGTAATGTAAAGCTGCTTTACCTATTGTAAGATATAAGCCAGCTTCATCATTCTCGGATGCAATTTTGTACGATGCGTTTTCATTTTATTTCATTTGTCATTTCATTCAGGTATTTTTTTATTTTTAATGCTCGAGGGATCCGCCACTGTGTTGAAATTGAATAAACTGCTGACATGTGCTGAGTGAAAGGTTGTGTCAGTTTACTCTATCTGAAACTGATGTTGAAGGTCATCAGCGCTTTATCGCAACCCAACACTAGCAAGAGTCTCAGTTTTAATGTCGCATCATAGACCTTTGCTAGGTTTTAAATCAGTTTGAATCAATGTGCCGACATTGATTCAAGAAGACTAGCCGTTCTTACGTGTGGGATCAAAATTCTTTCGTTTGAGACAAATGCACATGCTCAGTAGAAGTTTAACATGCATAATCTCTGTTTTCGCGCTTTTTTCTAAAATGATAACAATTTCTGGATGTTGGAGTTCTAGAAGTAGTATAAAAAACTCGCAGGAGTGCTTTATCGGGGATATAGACACTCGGCCATCGGCCTCGTGTCTATATCTCCCGATAAAGCACTCCTGCTCGTTTTTTAAACACTACCTCAACTATATTTCATTAGACTACACTGTTCCAGTTTAATAAAAACACAGGGTGTGATAGACTTTTTGAAAATCCATTGATGATGCTGTGTGTATTAAAATTCTTACACACCAGGTGGCATCATTTATACTTGAAGAATCTTACCTTCTTCACAACCTCTTGCCACCTCTCTGCCATTTTAGAACATTTGCGGCTCCAAATCTTTTTGCACTCCCCCCGTTGTGGCAAGATATTGGGCCATAGGCCTAGTTCGGGCCAGAAAGTTGCCTTTAACACGCTCTAGTCGCCAAGGTACTCCACCTAATTTTTAGTTTTAGATTAAATCTACCACGTGCCCTGGGGGTCACCCTCATCTTTTAAGCTGAACAGTGCCACGCCCAGTTTACCCTCATTTTTTCTTAAGTCGCCTTAATTTGCGGCGACTTTCAGGCCCGAAGTAGGCCTTTTTATGATAACCGCTCTATTCTTGTCAGACCAACACTCATTCCATGATAACCGCTCTATTCTTGTCAGACCAACACTCACTCCATGATAACTGCGCACTGATTTATCAGTACCTATTAACTCCACGAGAGCGTATTCTCGGAGAGGGAGGCATTCTGACTTGCAGTGAGAGGCATTTGAACTCGACTTATATAGAGCATGCAAAGAGCATTATCAAACGTTATGAAATACACTCGAAAGTGACCGTCGCATATCAGTGATCTCAAATGAATCACAAAGTATCATAAATGTATGGATTTTTACCACACGCGATTGGTGCATTCACACCGTCCAACAACCCGACATCGCTTCCCGAGTTCACTTTATACAAACTGCAAGCTATTTAAAGCAAATAAAAAAAATTTCCCCAAACAACCAAAAGACAAACCAAACAAAAACTCAAATGACACAAAGCCAGTACAACGTTAATAGTGTTTCAAAGAGGACTTACAACTCCAAGGGCGGATCCAGAAAATATAATAAAATAAAAATAAAAATAATAAAAGAAACAAAACAATAATAGCAAATAGCACTGATCAAAAGCAAAACCGAAAAAAAAATGAATAACAAATACCTACCCCTGTTATTCAAAGCCTCTCTTAGATCACAGCCCCCCCTAAATTTCTGGCTGGATCCGCCCTTGAACTCACATCATACAATCGCAATTTGTGAATCCTTTTTCGATGTAGGCTTAATTATATGACATTTTACAGTACGTGCATTACTAATTTTGCTAATTTTTTTAGAGAAAGACCAAAATTATCAAAAAATTAATGGCTTAAAAAATTGAATCTAATTTTATTGTGTACAATTTCAAGCACATAAAAATCGTTTTTTAGAGAAATACAAAAGATTGAAAATGGATGGTTTTTAAATCCATTTATCCATTTCCAATGCAGCTCATACAAGCTAACACAACTAGTAGTACTGAAAGGAACAGCGCCAAAAGGGTCCTCGGTTCCAGGTGACAAAGGAGGCAATACCGCTCGCTGAAGTTGGCTCGGGCTGTCACGTCCACTGTCGCTTGAATCAGAGCTTACATCGACGTTAATCAGAGCGCTGTTTTGAAAAAATGGATTTGTGGCGATATCAGGTGGGAGTTCCCCGGGAGAGAGAATGTCGTTCACAGATTCTCCAGGCACAACGTCTCGTCTCGGGTTAAAACTTTGAGTATTAACATCACTTGGTTGTTTACTAGGTAGATTGTCTCTTAACGAAGCAAAGTCCAAATCGTCATCACATTGATTAGGGTCTGTGGTGAAGTCACTGTCTTTAGCAGTGTAATACGGACTAAACGGATTCCAGTTTTCTTTCTCTGGTCCAACCGTATCAATTTCAATGAGTTTGTCCGTCGCTGGTTGACTAGTCTGCAGCTCTGGGTCACTAGGTGAACGATGATATGGGTATTTCATGTCTAGCCCCATAGCGGCTCTAGGGTCCGACTTAGAGCGCATATGTGTAGGCTGCCATGG